CCTCTACGGCTGGGACCCAGAGCGCAACAAGGGGTGGAGGGTGGATGCTTCCAATGGGCGCAGGGAGTTCGCAAGCAAGTTTACTATCCCAGACGACGCTGGGGACGATGATCCTGTGATTGCCTGGTGGGGTGATGTATCAGCAGAGGTCGCGGGCGCGACAGCGGCTGAGTTGAAAGAGTTTGAAAAGGTGGGCGACGAGAAGCGCCGCAAGAGAGATGACGAGCTGTTGCTCAGGCCAAGTCTGGCCTCTTCGGCGCTTCGGAGGAGACCGTGGACATCTCGGTCGGGGTCGCTAAGGAGTTTGCGGATGGCAGCGCGGGCGGGGGAGGTGCGGGTCGAGCAGGCCGTCGGCATCGAGAAGTCCGAGCACGCGAAGGCCGCCCTTCAGCGGGAGCAGGGGGGGAGAAGGCGAAGGGGGTGGGCAGATGGTGACTAAGGGCGAGCAGCAGGCGACTACCGAGCAGCGCAAGTCGACTCCCAAGGTGGGGAAGAAACGGGCGGCAGGGGGGAGGCGTGCGCCCGAGGGGGTCAAGGCGCTGAAGGAGCCCTCGCGAGTTTCCAAGATAAGGGTTGGCGACTCCGATGAGGTTTCCGCGGTGGCCAAGGCTGCCAAGTCGTCAACCTGGCAGCGAGCCCGACACTTTCTTTGATGGCGCGGGCGATTCAGATTCTTCTGATGTGAATTCCATCAGTGGAAGCCGCAGCATGCACCGTTTGAATTTATAGTCACTCTTCGGGGCGTGCAATCTCACAGATTGGTGGGTGCCTGTAGTCCTCGCTACAAGTTTTTAGTGGCAGTGTAGCTGGAACTTGTTGTTTGCGCGTGCTCGATGCGGGAAACGTCGGCGTTGCTCTGCGAGCGCGCCCCCGTTCGCCTGTCGCGTCTGCTCCTCGACTTGGGCACGACCCCCCGAATCTCGCAGTCGACAAACTTGCCGATTGGCCTGCTGACTGACTGATTGACTGATTGGCTACCTGACTGACTGACTGACGGGCCGGCTGACTGACTGACTGACTGAGTGGCTGTGCGCAGCCCTCACTGCAGGTTCACGCAGCACGTGCAATCATATGTCAATGCATATGGGCGTGTAAGACTGCCAAGAGCAGCTCCTTTTCTCGCGAAGTGCGACGCCGAGCTCCATAAGTAATAAATACATCAGCGATTACTTGTGTACCAAGACTGCCGCGGACACACCTGCGAGTGCGATGGGTGAACGTTGCCTGAAGTCTGGCGAGAGCGGGGTATGTGATTTCAGAGCCCCTCAGAAGTCACACCCATGCCGGCGAGAGTATGGCATGTGATTTCGGAGCCCCTGTGAAGTCGCATCCATGCCGGTGGCTGCGCCGTGTTCCTGGAGCTGGGTGCATGGAATCCATGCGCGACTCCTGCGTCGGTTGCTCAGTCCGGCCGCCGATGCATCCGGCGTGTCTCACCGAGGTCCATGAGTGCATGGTTTCATAAATCGGAGGTGAGGGGGTGAGATCGAAGTGGAACGGAGAGCCCCCCTTCCGGGAAATCGATTTCGGTTTCGTGTTCGTGCGTGCCGTGCGCGCGGGCGAGGGGAAGCTGCGTGGGCGGGCGAGAAAAAGTCTCCTGTGGCTGAGGCGCGGCCGGACCAAATGACTCCCCTTCCGGGCGGCCGGGGGCCCGCGGTGCCCCGCCGGTGCCCCGCTGGTGTCCCGTGTGGCTGAGGCGCGGCCGGACCAAATGACTCCCTTCCGGGCGACCGGGGGCCCGCGGTGTCCCGCCGGTGCCCCGCTGGTGTCCCGTGTGGCTGAGGCGCGGCCGGACGAAATGATTCCCTTCCGGGCGGCCGGGGCGGCGCGGTGCCCCGCCGGTGTTCCGCCGGTGTCCCGTCCGTGTCCCGTCGGTGTCCCGATGATGATGTTGATGATAATTATGATGATGATTCGGATGATGATGGTGATGATGATGATGATGGTGATAATGATGATGTTGATGATGGCGATGCTGATGATGATGTTGATGTTGTTGATGATGATGATGATGACGTCGGTTGCGAGATCGATTGTGATATTGGTAGTGAGTCCGAATGCGAGATCGATTGTGCGATGCTGATGGTGATGATGGCCTTCATGGTGTTGATGTTTGTGGTTATGATGACGACATTGATGATGACGATGGTGATGCTGATGATCAGGATGAATGTGATCATGATGCCGCTGATGATGATGACGATGTTGATGGTGATGTCGATGATAATGATGACGACGTGGACTCACGGCTGTTGGTCGTGCCTTGCGCGACCGCCGCCCACAAAATGGGAGATCATTTGTGATATCGATGGTGATATCGATGGTGGGACAAATAGTGAGACCGAATGTGAGATCGATTGTGGGATCTATTGTGAGATCGAATGTGAGATCGATAGTCAGATCGATTGTGAGATCGATCGATTGAGATCGGTAGTGAGTTCGATCGTGAGATCGATGATGAGACCGAATGTGAGGTCGATTGTGAGATCGGTTGTGCTATCGATAGTGAGATCGATAGTGAGACCGAATGTGAGATCGATAGTGATATCGAAAGTGCGTTCGATGGTGAGATCGATAGTGATACCGAATGCGAGATCGAGTGTGAGATCGATCGTGATACCGATAGTGAGATTGATAGTGAGACCGAATGTGAGATCGATAATGAGATCGATAGTGAGCTTGGTAGTGAGATCGATAGTCAGATCGAATGTGAGATCGATTGTGAGATCAATTGTGGTATCGATTAGGAGATCAATAGCGAGACCGAATGTGAAATCGATTGTGAGCTCGATAGTGACATCGATAGTCCGACCGATTGTGAGGTCGCTCGGTTGAGATCGATTGTGAGAACGGCAGTGAGTTCGATAGTGAGATCGATCGAGTGCGACGTTGGCCCCCCCCCCCCCCCCCTCACCTCCTTATCGCCCGAAGGGTGGCCGTATAGGTATATGCAGAATTTGATACGAGTAGTTGTGATAGTGATAATGCTAGTGGTACTAATAGTAATACTACTACCTTGTTTTGCTGATGTTATTCGACACATGCACTCGTGCACTCATGCAGTCATGCAGTCATGTAAGCACAGCCATGCACTCATGCACGCATGCAGTCATGCATTCATACGGTCATACAGACAAGCAGTGCTACAATAATACAGTCATACAGACATGCAATCATAAGCTCATGCAGCCGCACAGTCGTACATACATGCAGTCATATAGTCCTGACTGAATGACTTGGGTGACCGACTGATTGACGGCTCTATCACCGACTGGCTGACTGACTGACGCACTCAGTCGCCTGCCCTTTCACGCAGTCACGCATTGGCTGGAGGGCGTCCCTGAATAGTGCGCAAATGGTGCCAGTAGTGATCAGTGCGGCCATGGCAGCATTCAAGTTAAATTCGACACTTGTGCGTTGGGTCCTTCAAGTTGCCCGCCCACTCACTCACTCACTCTTCACTCGCTCGCGCGCGCTCACTGGCTCAAGACAGAAGGGGGGGGGGGGGGGGGGGCAAATGGGGGGGGGGGGAGGAGGGGGTTGGGGGGCGAAGCGTAAGCGATGAGGAGTGGAGGGGTGCCTTTGCGAACGCTGCTCGGCCGCTTCTGCTGCCGAGGTAGAAGCTCGGTGCTTCTCGGCCTGCTGCCCGTGGCGAGCGCCGCAGGCGATTGCTGTCTCTGACGCGCTGCTCAGTCAGCGCTGGGCGCGGCGCCCCTGGACTTCTCCCCGAAACAATGCAGCGACCGCCTCCGCGCCAGCGAGTCTCCGTTGAATTGCCTCTTGCTGAGGTTTCAGCCCATCGCGTCAGGAGGACCAAGTACTGCTCCACGATGCTTCGCCTCCGCCTCCCGGGGTGCATGCGCCCAGGTCGGGCACTCCAGAGTCCTCGTGCCCATCTCAGTCTGCTTGGCCCTGGAGTACTTCGCCGCATATTGAACTTCGATTGCGCGAAGATCTTTGAGCGCGCCTCGTTCCTCTCGAACGTGCCGGACACAGGCGGAGTACTCCACCTCGATCGGTGCCTTGCCGAGGAAGACGCCATTGGGCGCCTCGAGGATGCTGCGACCAGCTTGGAACCACTTGCCAGTGTCGATGTATATGGGCATGGTGCTGTCGGGGCGCAGCGCGCCGAGGGTCGCCCCCGTGTGCGCGTGGTTCCTGCCCGTCGGGCGAATGCCGCGTTGGGCGATCGCGCCCCAGTAGTTGTCGGAGGCCCCGTGGATGACGTCGCCAGCCCATGGCGCCACCTGCTCGCAGCTCTCGTCTGGCGCTGCAAAGGAATGCCCCCGGCAAGCCCTGATTCGCGAGCCACCGTCGAACTCCGTCAGCTCGAGCCGGCCCCCCTTGTCAATCTGAGCCGCAGCGTCCAGGTCGTCGCAGGGCCATTTCAGATTAGGCGTCGGCCGCAGGATGTCCTCGCTATCAAACCAACCATTTTTGCCCCGCTGTGTTCCCCAGTCGGCTCCGCCGCGCCGACAAGCGCACGCGACGAACCGCCTGGAATTCTCGGGCTCCTGGGGCGGCAAAAAGGCAAATATCGATCGGGCATTTCAGCGCGCACTTTCCTGCGGTGGCCACTGCAGCTGCGCGACATCAACTGCTTCGCTGATCGATGAAATGATCGTCGTTGTGACCGACGCGCGGTGGCGACCGCGCGTTCGGGGGCCCGCTTCTGGCCGGGTGCGCCCATCCACGACGCATTGCCCGAGAAGCGGCGACAGTCCGGGCGCATGAAGGGGGGGGCGGAGGATGGGGGGGGGGGAGATTTTAGATGATTGAACAAATGGGCCTTCGCCAGGAGCGCACGCCCCCCGCGGGGGAGCTAACTTCAACCAGAAATTTAGGCATTGAGCCTTGCCCCCGGACCCCAATCTCAGGGATGGGGCCCGCCTTTCAGGCGCAGCCTTCGGCCCAGGCAGCGCTTGCTTCAGTGTTCGCCCCATCTCTGCAGCATTCTGCTCCGGCCCCATGCAGCGTGTCCGCTGAGAGCGCCCCTGCGCATGTTGGCGTTGAAGGCGGTGCCGAGCCTGTGGCAGCAGGCGCTGCTCATGGGCAGCGAGGTGCCGAGGTTTCTAGGTCGGGCGCCTCGATCCAGGAGATTGTCGGGGAGGCGCCTCCCAGGGGGGGGGGCAGAGAAAAAGAGGGCTGACAATCGCCGTCTCGCGTTGCTCGATGATGCTACGACGAAGGGCGCGGGCATGAGGCGCCCGCTGCGCAGCGAGTTCGCCTGGGGCCCAGAGGGGGGCGGGGGGGGCGCCCGGGCCGCAAGGGGGCGAACTCTCAACGAGGGAACTTCCGCAAGCGGTGGGCCCGCGATAAATTCAACCGGGTCATCGATGTCAAGGAGAAGGAGGGGAGCCCCACCTACTTGGGCAAGAGCAAGGGCAATATGACGAGCATCGAGGACATGCTGAAGAAGGAGGGCCCAGAGGACACCGCCAAGCGCGTGACTAAGTGCACTGCCTCGGGGGGGCCTTGGATCGAGTGGGGCGACGCGCGGGGGCGGTGGAATGCGATGGCGATGGAAGAGCCATTCTGAGATCTTCGCGCGGGCGGATGGGGGATGAGGCAGCAGAGGCTCGCAAAAGATGGCGGTTCCGCGGAATGGCCCGCTCCCAGCGGCAAGGGCGCTCCAGCTATCGGCGCAGGTGGCGCGGGTGAGCCCCTGGATGGTGAGATCGAGCCAGAGCCCGAGAGGGGCGCCGCGCCGAAAGCCAAGGGCAAGGCAGCGGCCGGGATGAGGGGGGCAGCAGAGGCGCGCGAGCAGCCGAACGTGGCCAAGAAACAGAGCAGCCCGATGGTCCCCGCCAACATGGACAAGTCCTATTACAAGGCAGCTGTATGAGGGGCGCAGACGCTACAGGCGGTCATCAAATCTACGACTGAATGGGAATGGGCTATCGACGAGCACTCCCATAACGACCTGATTTGTGCCATCGCTGCGCTTGAGAGGGCAGTGGCGTGCGACCCCTTCACGCAGACGTTCTTGAGCATAGACGTCGGCGAGCTGAAGCAGGAATACAACGAGGGCCAGATCGCGGCTCAGCGTGGCTCAGTGTCTCAGATGCTCGACGCGTTGGTGAAGAAGGTCGCGGTGGAGACGCAGTCGCTGGTGAATGGGCACGCTGTGCGCATGAAGGCTGTGACTGCTGCGTGAGGGAGCTCAACTTACTATGGCAAATCGGTGTGATGGTGTCTTGTCTCATTGAGCTTCCGTTGCGCAATGGTGTCCAGCGGAGGCGCGGGGCGTGCGCGTGCTCCCGGGGCAGCGCCGTCTGCGTTGGCAGAGCGTCGCTCGGCCTCTGCGGTGCTCACCGCAGGCGGCCTGTTCAGTGCAAGTTCTTTGCTTTCAAGCATTGTATTTACATTTTGCTGGAACCACGCGGGGACGCATTCCGAGCGTCGAATTGGAGTGGTGAAACATTTAAGAAGTAAGCGATGCAAGAGTGATGAAACCTTGGCTTTATGTTGCTCTTTACACGCAAAAAAAACATAACATCCTCGTACCGTGGGTGATCGATGATATTTTGATGTTTTGTTGTGAAGTCTGCGGGCTTGGATATATCAGAAGAAAGCAAGGGCAGATGATTTTCCGTCGCCCCTTCAAGGTCTCATCGCCGTGTAGAGGAGGGCCGTGGGGGGCGCGATGGCACCGGCGATCGCCATTGCGAGCGACCGCTTCCAGATGGAGGGGTTGAGGGGGGGAAGGGGGGGGGGGGGGGCCGAGGCAGGGCGGGGGGGGGGGGTCGCCATCTCGAGGGGGGCCAGAGGGCGCGCGATGGCAGTAGTGATCGCTGCTGCGAGCGATCGCTCCCATGGACGGATCGAGGGGGGGGGGGGGGGGGGGGGGGGGGGGCGGGGCGCGGAACGGGAAAGGAATCGCCATCTTGAGGAGGGCCAGCGGGTGCACGATGGCAGTCGTGATCACTGCTGCGAGCGACCGCTTCCAGACGGAGTGGCGTGGGGGGGGGGTCGCGGGGCAGCGTTCCCGCGTTTCGGACGTCGCGGAAGCCGCCGCGGAGCATCGCCGGGCGTTGCGAATGAACGGCCGCGCGCTGGCGGTCCAAAACTGCCCGATGCATTGCGGCGCCCCAGAGGCCGCGTGTGGCGTCAGACTCATTCCTGCGAGGAAGCGAAGGGGTAGTTCACGAAGGCGATGCGGCAAGGCTATACGAGTATATCGCAGAGAACACGCCGGCGCTTACAGTTGAGTTGGCAGGGCTGAAGGAGCAGAAATGGACGGCGCTGCAGCGAGCCAAGGCATCAGCGCTGCCATGTCCACTGTCCGAGTGGCTGCAGTGGCTCGACGCGCGCGGCGACGAGTTTCGGGCGGTGCCTGAGAGTGCCTCATGATGCCGCAAGAAATGCCATTCACGTGTCGAGTCTCTCGCGTCCATTGAGGAGAAACCTGCTGCGGGATAGCGTCTTGCCGCGTCCCAGCCCTGCGGCGTCGGCCTGCTGGGTGGCGTTGCATGGGGCAGGGGGAAGTGGGGCTGCTTGCGTTCATGGCAGGGATCGGAACTGATGTTCGCCTCCTGCCGCTCACGAAGGTTCCCGGCGCGGGGCCGCGCCATTTTCAGCTTGACTTGCAGAGGGCCTTGTCGCAGCAGGTCTCGCCGGTGCGTTCTGCGTTGCAGACGAGTGGCATTTGCATTTGCCCGTCTCAGCCTTTCGCACTGCGCGACGTCACCTTCCAGCTTGCGTCGCGGGATTCGCGGCGCGCGCGCCTCCGCCTCCTCGCTTGCGCGTTGGCCCCCGACGCCCCCCCGCCGCAGCGGCGCCCCAAAATGCTTGACGAGGGCGCCTGCGACGAGGGGGGTCTCGATGACAATGACGACGAGGACATCGAGTGCCCCGAGTGCAGCTCAGCAGACGGCTCGCTCTGTCGCGATGATGAGTCATTGGCGTCCGACCTCGGTGGCGCAGGGGTCCCAACTGATGGAGGCGCCGGCGTCGCTTCCTCTGGCGACAGCGGGGGGTCGGATGACGACGATGGGCCCGCGCAGCCGCAGGCGGCGCCAGGGTCGTGCGCGTCGTCGTTGAACATGTATTTTCAACCTTACAGACCACCCCGCGCATCCAGATCTCAAGCTCTCCATCGCGAACCGCTGGAGAGAGGCATCTCTGCCGGGGGCATCTCGGATGTCGAAAACGCTTCGGCCGTCGGAGTACGGGGAGACAAAGGCCGCGCCAGTGCGCGCCGGGCTCCTGCTGAGAGCGCGGGTGCTCTCGCGAGCCCAGGAAAACAATTTGGCGGAGAGCAAGTCGAGCCGGAAAGCAGTTTTCGCCAGAGAGTTGCGGACCCTGCGAGCCGACGTCTGCAGTCTTCCTTCGAGTGAACGGCCGAGTCCTGGCCATTTGGGCGCTGATGCAAAGATGCAAAGATCGGACAGATGCTTAGCGTTGCTCGGCGGCGCGCCGACGGGGGGCCATGGGGGGATAGGATGAGGCTTCTCAGAGGGCAGGGCGCTTCTCATCAGAAGCCTTGGAAGGGCCTCGTGCGCTGTGCCGCGCAAGAAGGCTCGACCAACCCCCCTGGCCATCCTCGGCGCGTTGCTGAGATGAATCCGACCGCTAAGATGAGTGCAATTTGTCTTCTGTCGATCGGGCATCAGTTTTGAATGAGCGCCACCGCCTTGCTGAGCGAGCGTCCACGCCTGATCTGTTCCAGGAGGGGTAAAACGCTGCGCGGCGTCGCGGATTTCCAGGGCGGCGGCGCAGGGGGAAACGTGCGACGCGGCGTCGCGGATTTCCCAAGATTGTTTAAATAATTAGTCTCACTGCGTATTCTTTGGCTTCTAATAGCGAGGCTAGTTGAACGCCTCTCATTGCGCATTTTGCATCCTGCGTTGTTATGTAAGCGCGTGCTTCCACCGTGTTCATGATCAGATGCCTTTCGGCAGTGGAGCTCGTGCCAGTCCGTTCCCGCCTGGGTTTCTCAGGGCTTGGGCATCTCAGGGCAAAGGAACCACGCTTGGTGAATAGGGGCTCCACGGGTTCGGGGTCTCCTGAGTTTCAGGGCCCCCAGGGCTCGGGTTCCTCCCGCTGGGGCCCCCGCCGGGGCTCGGGCTCGGGGCCCTCCCGCCAGGGCCCCAGTGGCTCGGGGTCCTCAGAATCGAACGCGTGGCGCATGAGGGCAGTGCCGGGCGACGTAAGGCCATGCAAGGCCGTTAAACGCTCAAATGCAATGTAAGGCAATTCGAGGCTCTTCAAGAATATTTCAGATCATGCAAGAACATTTTGAAGCCATTTCGTAATGTTGCAGGCCGACGATCGCGGCGAAGCCCAGACATTGCATGACCCCCCAGGGTAGCGGCAGCCACAGGCTCGAGGGCGGAGTTCGCCAGTTTCACCACCCGCACTCCGCGATATGGAAACCTTCTCCTGCAGCGTGTCGTTATTGGAGGAACAGGCCCGACAAGCGATGGCCGATGCATCCGCCGCCTCGAAGGATCGCGAGTCTGCCGTGCTAGCCCTTCGGAAACAAAAAGACACATAAATCACCCCGTCAGAGGGCGAGGTGCGTTTGCACGTGGCACTGAAGGAGCTGAGATGCGAGGAATTACGGCAGGGCGACCAAGAAAGCGTTCAATTAGTGGCGAAATAAGATCAGCACTTTCCAAGTTTGCCAGAACACGTATTGGATCTTGGAGAAGAGTCGCTGCCCTACCTTACGATCGGACCTCGCCCAGAGGCGCGTGGGCGCGTTCCAGGCCGATCAGTTTCTCGTGGGCCCAGCATCCTTGACAGCGTGGCCTTCAAGTTACGACCCGGAGGACTGGTGGGCGGCGGATGGGGCCTTGCCTCGGAGCGAGCTTGGGCCAGGTAGCGAGGAGTTGATCTCTGGGGTGAAGGCGTCATGGGCTCCGCAGACCGCGGGCCAGTCAGCGTTGCCCCCCGCCCGTCAGGCGCCCGCGCTGACCGACGCCCCAGCCGACAATGGCGCGGACAAGAGAGACGCGGAGCAAGGTGGCAAGGCCGCGCCCGCAGAGCCGAGGAGACGGCGGTGCAAGAGGGAAACGCCGTCGGACACCGAGGAAGAGCGCGCCGAGTCCATCGACACTTCAATAGCCATTGAATGTCTAGCGCACTTGGACACAAGGCGACATCTCGAATGATGCCCTCAGGAAGGAGAGCAGGTAGGGCGTTAAACTTCTCGACCGCCCTCGAGATGAACCTGCTTGCCCAACTCTACTTGGCAAACTTGTTGCTGCGTGTCCTCAGCTTTCTCCAGCTGTGATGTTCGGATGTGCTCGCTGTCTAGCGCGCTATCTCCTATGTGCGGGATGTCTTGCAGGTGGGTCTGAGTGTCATTGGCGATCATCATAGGGAGAACATCAGGGACCTTGTGCTTGCCCCCATTTCCTTCCTCCTGCCGAGAGCAACCGATTGACGTGGCGCCACTGCTGCTTCGGCAGGTGCGCACATACCGACACCTGAACATCGTTCCCCACCTTCTCGAGAACCCGGTGCGATCCAGCGCTATGACGCGAGCAAGGACTGGCTTATATAGGAGGAGAGAGTTCAAACATGCATCCGCAAAGTCATAGTCTATGGTGGAGCGCCGAATGTTTCTCGCAACAATCACCAGGGACGTGGCCAGCTGTTTGGCTTGTGCTTCGATGCGATACATGCTGGCAGCAATATCTCCCATCGGGATGCGCTTGGCAAAGCGATGCAATGCCGGCGCAAGGGGGGTGTGGGGTGGGGGAGGGCCGAGGCACGACGAGGAAACGCATCTTTTCGTGGCGATTGGGTCGGGCACTGCCCTATCATGGGCCGTGTCCACGGCCGAGGGTACGTGAAAATTTCTAATGGCACTGGTAGCAGCCCTTCTCCACGCGATTAAATCCAAACATCAGGTGATATGAAGGGCTTGACTGGAGTGCGTGCTACATATCCAAAGGAGGCGGCCGCAGCTTCATACACTATTTGAAAGATCTGGGCACGGTGGTTCTTGGTATCCTCCGTCCATGGGACCCATGCGTTTTGTTTGAAAGCCTGGAACGCCTCCAAATCTTTAAGATCCGCAAGCCATCCTGGGTCTACCCTGAGGCATTTAGATTTTCTAACTTGGAAAAGGGGGCAACTGACCAGCACAACGTAACCCAAAGGGGGGGTGGTCCTTGAAAACCATAACGTTATCAATCGAGTGAA